AAAAAAAAACAAAAAAACCCCACCCAAAAACCCCAAACAAAAAACCCCACCAAACAAAAAAACCCCAAAAAACTGAGTAATGCACTGGTGCACTGGTGCTTTTGCTGTCCCACATGGGTGGCCCAGAGAGAGACATGGCGTGCGACCACTGTGCTAGCAGTGGTACAAACATGGAATGCTTTTGGGGATTGGGTTCCAGAAAAAAAAAACAAACAACTCACATCAGTTGCATTCGAGTGTGGTCACATTTGAAACAGAGAGTAAGGTCAGTGCTGGCTGATACAAACAAGTTGCCACACAACCTAGCAGAAAGCAGGTCCTCAGGCTTGTTAGCCCCAGTTGGAAACAGCATGGGGGAAATGACCACTTGAGCCCACATCTTATGCTGCACCTCATTTTCCCAGGGAAGGAGGGCACAAGAAGTTAGACACCATGTAAGACACTGAAGGACACGCAGCACTTTTCCAAAACAGAACAGCATGTACCTCCCTCTGAAAACTGATGCCTTGGGTTGCACACACTGTGGTGGCTTGGCCATGGCCCAATGTTAACAGAAGGGGTTTTGGGGGACCACCATCCACCAAATTCGGCCGTACTAAGATCCTTATTTAGCTGTGTCTGAGATTCAGAAGCGTCGCTTGTTGTCCATGTGGAGTGAAGAGGGAGAACACATTCCCTCCTTCCCTGTTTGCTCACATAGATAGGACTCAGCTTTGCAAGGTCCTGAAGTCTGGAAGCCTGATAGAGCACCTCACTCAACTATATTCCTTATCTTTGCACGTGACCAGTTTCAGTGATTAAATGACTCACATACAACAAGGACAAAATTTTGCCCTGTGCTCACCCACAATTTTATTCCACTAAATCAATACACATGCAATGACATGTAAAAATTTCTAACAAATGGCTAACTTTAAATAACAGAACTCCAACCCCATCTTTGTAGTGTGTGAAGTACCTGCCTTGGAAAAAGTGGAGAAACTACCAAAATTCTGTGAAGAATATAAACAGACTAAATATCTTTTGACCACCCATTTTTCAGAGATAAAGAAAACAAGAGGTAGAGCTGGAAACCACAGGAACCACAGGAGTTGTTACTGTAAATTATACTGGTTTGCCTGTGATTTTATCAAGCCCATGCAACAACAAAACAACACATTCTTGAAGTAGTGAACTCAACAAACTCAAATAATATCTATTAGTTTACCCTCAGGTCCTGGATCCCGTAGTCTTTCATCAGTGCTATTTGGAAAACCTCCAGGGAGCAGATGTATGCTACCAGCCTTGACAAGCTTTGTTTACCACTACCACCTACTCCTGTCAGAAGTGCACAACCCCTAGGGGCTTCTAGGATACAACTGATCTGGCACCTGATGACAAAAAAACATTAACGTAACATAGTCTTCAACAACATCAGCAGCAAAGTTTCTCAATTTCTCTTTATTGCACCAAGCTTTCTCCACCCCCCTTCTTTCTTTTTTTGTCTATTGTGTGCTCCTGACACCTAAAAGTACATTATCTTCGTGTCAGTATTTTGTCAAATATCAAAGGTCTGCACTGACCTCTACAATGACCAGAGCCTGTCTGGTTGCTCATTCTTTACATTATGCTGCTCCACTGACTGGACTCAGAAAAAGATCTAGTTAACCTGAAGGGAAGATGACTAAGCCCTAGAAGCGCATTAGAATTTCATGTCTGGCAGTTTACACCACAAAGGCTGAAGGATGATGAATCTCTTCATGAAAAATATGCATCAAACTTTAATTTACTCTTGGAATACCTAGCCCAGACTACTTAAAGTATGCTTTTATTTGCTGATCATGGAATACTATAGGATGAATGAGGTCAGGTGAGAATCTGGCCCAAAATTAGACAAGATTTAGTTGCTAGAATTTTCAAAAGTAAGTATTGAGATAATTCTTCCCCCAAAACCCTATGTTTGAGACATTAAGAAATCTCTTGCAATTGATATTTTAATAATTTATATAAGCATCTAAAAAATATTTTCAAAGTTTCATTTTTTAAAATCAGATGCAGATTCTAAGGGATTACAGCATAGTACCAGCAGACCAGAACTTAGAGACAGCATGTTGGACCTTTTGTTTCATTTTTCTTCCATGTATCGATGAAAAAATGCAAAAAACAACCCCCTCATTCTCTTTATGTCTCATGCCACTGAAAAAAATCATCCCTGAAAAAACATCAATGAGAACCTTCTTAAATGAGGGGATAATGTGTCTAATCTGGTTGCATCTAATAAAGAGGCAGAAACCTGTTCAACCAAAACATTACTGGAAGCCAATTTTCTTTGACCTCACTGTAGAACTGTGAGCCTTATTCATGATTTCACAATGGATCCATAAAAAAAAAAAACATAAAAGGTGTGGAAAAAATTTACAGGATTTAATTTCACATACGCTTTTCCGGGACTGCCAAATTATAAGGCTAAGTCACCCTGCCACTTTGTTTGCCAAACTGGGATACTACTCTCAGTCACTAGACTTCAGAGATAATATAATGGCTTACCAACATTTTCAAGCAAATTTAGCGATACCTGAGAAGGCTTCTGTCTGCAATTCTGATGACTATCACATCAACTTCTAAATCAGCAGAACAAAATCTACAGTTCCTATGAAAGATCCATATGATTGCCTTTGTAATTTAAGCTCTTTTTTAATCCTCTTGGAGAGAAATTTCTACAATAGACTGCTTTGTCAAGAGTACCTTCTCTTATATAGTTCCTGCCTAAATATGTGCAAAGTGAAAAACAATGACACTGAAATCCCAGTCCAACTCAATGAGAAGAAAAGGTTCTGTGTTAAATGATTTGACACTGCAAATAATAGAAACTGCTTTAACAAAACTAAGCTCTGCCAGCATGGGCCTCTGTCTCTTTCTCAAAATCACTGATATTATACATGACCAGAACGACTGTATATGTTGAAGAAAGATTAAAAATAATGACAAGGAGCAACAATGAAGTCTGTGCCTCACTTATTCAGCAAAATCTTTACTTCATCTTCTGAAAATTGGCTGGTTTTCTTCTGTGCAGGAAAACAAAGCAAACATGGTTGATCAGATTTCAGAAACAGCAACTGAGATTTTGGGCCATGATGAATACTACGATATTGCTGGACATGAAAAATCAAAATTACATTAAACTGAGATAAGGTAAGAATACATATGAAAAACATCTATGGATAAATAAAATAAAATAAATCTATGATGACAGTTAGAAGTCTGGGCTGGTTTAGATTTTAAAAAAGTACAAGGCTAGGCAGCAAAGCAAATTCAAGTCTGCCATGCAGTGGCAACATTTAGTATACGTTTAAGGTATTACTTGTCCTTGTTTTGAATTAATCTAATTTTAAAAGCATTTTCTCTTTCCTGGAAACAAAAGATAAATATTACTTTTCTTATAAAGGCCTGTTACATCATTAAGTAATTAAAAGATAAGGCAGACTATCTACAGCTTTATAGATTATTTTTCCAACCTCACAGAATAAGTGCTGTTAATTTCTGTGCAGCACAAAAAAGGATGAATCTCTGTTTAAACAAACAAAATGGATGTTAGCTTTAACACTGAGCCACAATCTACTCTTTCATAATGGCACCAATAAAGTATATTTAGCAGGCCTATTGCTGCATGGTGCCCTCACATAAGCCTTCCATTAAGAGTGTTACAAGTCTGCACTGCAACAACCTCTGAACAGTAAAAAGCAACAACTTCGTGCAAACATTGGTAGCATCATGATGAATTACTTGCTCCCTTTATAGATATTCTACTTACACATGCTGCGTGGCACCCTCAAATAAGACTAGGTTCATAGAAGCACGCACTTCATTGTAGCTTTCTAGGAACTCCTCAAGTAGATTCCTCAGTGGTTCCTGCGCTTTCGCAGGCTTGCAGCAACACTGGTCTTCCACATTCTACCACATAGTGAGAGAGAAAAATAATAGTTAAAAAATGCCCTAAACACAGCACATGAAAAATGTTTTCATGAAAACACGGTTTCATGAAAACATGTACCCACGCACTATGCACTGAAAGACTAAAATAGGTGCAAGTATGGGCTCAATCCATTTGCACAGTACATCCAAACAGACAGGCTTCAAACAAAGTACTAGTAAAGCTCTCTATATGTTTAATTGTTCATGTCTAAACTACTTAAAATTAAGGAGCAATAATTTCTTTGTGATAGGAAGTCACTGCTCAATCTAGGTTCAAACACTCCCAAATATATCAAATTTTCTGTTTGGGTGTCCTCATTCCTATCCTTATTCTATTTCTTTTCACTCCTCTTTTACTGGCAAATAGAATTTAGAAAGGAAGGGAAAAAAGGACTAGTAAACAAAGTTGATGTCTTCCAGTTTCCATTTTTTGTAAAACAAATTCAACTACTCCCTCCCTTCCCTCCCTGCTCTCGTCAGGAAAACTATTTTCTTTTTTAAAAATCAAACATACATGCATTTAATATGTTCATTTTAGTTCGTGTTCCTGTTGCTTTGTCTGCTGCAAAATGAGTATGCTTTTAAGTGAAGAGTTTTTGAAGGGCAAGTAGAAACAATATCGTGGTCCTCACTAGTTAATTCAACCTTGGTATTGGCACAAACACACATTAATTCCAGAAGAAACTGTATATGCAATAGTACTACATAATATGTGACATTATTTTGTCTTCCTTGTGCCATGTCTGATACAATGAACAATACTGAGAGGTACTATATTTCATTACATATGACAGGTTAAAGAAACAAGAGGTATACATAACAAAACTTAACTGAGAACATCAAGGCAAAGAAACATACTTGTATCCCAGTTTATATTTGCAGTGTTTCCTCTGTGAAGACCAGATGGGTGTATTGTCCCTCATCCCTGTACAGCAGAAAGACCAAAATGAAACCTGTATATCTACTTTGTATGTCTTGCAATATACAGCATCTTAACTCTTTAATAGTTTAAATCTGATAACAGATACTTTTATTTGAATAACCAAAAGTGCTCACAGTTCAAAAAGTACATGCTGTTTTACTGACGTGCTCTGAAATCCTGCGATTTAAAATTATTTGAAAAATAACTTAATTCAATTTTTTAATACATATGCATATATATACACATACATACACACACTTAATACTCAAGTTAAACTATTCAGGGAAAGAAGACTAATACAAAAGGAACAATTAGTAAAGGAAAATGAAAGTAATTATTCTTGTGGTTTGAAGCACAGAATCAGGAAACAAAGTGAAGACCGCAACTCATTTCCACATATTGGTGAAGAACATGAAGAGTCATGTCCGCAGACAGGTTGCTACCTCCCCGTTCTAGAGAAGGCTCAAGTGTTTGCTTTAAGTTACTAACAACACTGCAACAGAGATACTTGACAGTCCTCCACCAGTCAAACATTACAGTCAAGGTAAGAATAATCACCTCTGAATCTTCTCAAGGGGAAGCTTCCTTGATTTCCCCTTTTCACTTGCTCTGGCACCTGGTTTTCCTCAGTAAGGAAGATGCTTGCACTGGGGGCTGAGGATAAAAACATAGTGTGCTACTGATACTTACAGTTCAAGTAAATAAGACCTTTCACTACCCAGTTCTTAACTTGCTGGCATTAGGCAAAATACTTGCAAGCTACCAATGTACCTCAAAATACTTGTGCATAGCGTCTATCATAATTTTATAAAAGAAATTACAGTCTTTGTTTTCCACCAGTTTATCTCCATAGCCACGTGCTGATTCATGAAGTCAGAGATATTAAAGATCCTTTGGTTGCTGTAAACACTTGGGTGTAGTAAACAGAATGCCCTAAACATAACACAATTTTTTATTATTATTTTTTATTTTAAATGCTGTCATCTGGCATCAAAATAGGCCACTCTTAAGGGAGACTAACTGATATTCTGCAAAGACATTAATAATACTGAGTAAATACCCAATACACATTGTACTTGAAACTATATATTCTTTAACATGAATCAGAATGTCTATAAACTAGCAAGTTCTCCAGCCAACTGAGTGTGCAAAATATAATTGAAACAAATGTCTGCTCTCCACTGACTAGCACAATTAGGTGACTCATTATGGTTTGAGGCCCTAGTGTAGTCCAGGATACAGGGAAGTATCAGCACTGCCAGGATCTTACATGTTCACTAGCCATGTTTTGCAATACCACTCAAGAAAACAGGACACAGTTTATCAAGACAAAACTAGCACTTTCTCAACTGTCACTTCAAACTTCCTTCCTTAACAAATTCCACGCCGGGATGGCCACAAACATACATGATGGGCCAGTGCATCCCCATCAAACCAAGGTATGTGTTACAATAGGAGACCTGACAAATCCTTGCCTCCTTGCTAACAGTTCATGATGATCCATGGGGCGTGCAGGCAAGGAGAATGTTCTGGAAGAGAACAGAGCTGCACTCCAAGGAGCAGGAAAGCATGGAAAACCAAACCAGGATCAGACTCACCTGATTTTACAAGAGGGACCAGGATATGCTGAACATATTATATTCTTCCCTCATTTTTCTCTTTAATCCCAGGTCTGGCATTTGACTATTGGTTTCAGCCCCTACTTCAGAGCTTCTTCAATCTGTGTTTTGTTCTACCTAGTCTCCAGAAAGTTGTTCTTCCCTCTGAACAAATGTTGACCTTCTTTTCTCAAAATAATAAGTAAGCATAGCAAACTTTGCAAACCATTGCTCTATTTCAACTAAATATATTTTCTTTCTTAGCTTTCTACCCCTTTTATCTACCTGACCATAGTCACCTCAGGGCAAGGACTGTCTTCTATTTTGTACAAAGGGCATCTGTTCTTCATTAGTCCACAGGCCAAGGTACCTCATTAAATAATAAAAGGCGACAATAATAGAGTGTTGTTAGGTATTAACAACATTAAAATTAGCCCATGGTATAGACCTGAAAGACATTGGAGAGGTCTCCCACGTTAAAGATATAGCGGAACTTAATAGTGGAACTTAATAGTGGTTGGTGCGAGGTTTTGAACCACCACCTGGTAAAGCCATATGGCTGCTTGTACTATGGCTGGAATATTCTTATTACTGATGGAGTAAAGGCATGTTGCTGGAAGTGGGAGCAAACTATATTGGTATAGATGGTAGACAGGGAATCTGAAGAAGGAAAGTTCAAAGCAAATACTGCAAAAAGTCTCTGAAAATGAAAAGGGAAAAAGACATGAAGATTCTCCAGTATCAGGCAGCAGATAAGCATCAATGAAGCATTAAATGACAAGACAGCCTGGTGAAAACGCAGTTACTTGTTTGTCACAGAATATACTTCATTTCTAGCCTCATCCTTGATGCAGTTCCACAGCAGTTGCATGTCTGGCTACGAGCCCCAAGGGCACATCTACCAGGTGAAGGACTACATGAGACTGCAATTGATATGAAATTCAGGGGAATCTCAATATCATAATAAATATGGTGCGTCTCTTTCTGTTTAGCTATAGGAACAGCAGGATTTTGAACCTGTACTAAGTTTCAGACACTATGTTTTCTCCTATCCCCTTTCATCTCCTACCTATTGCAGTGAAAAGCTAAATAGTAATTATTTAATGCATTAAATACAGGATTGCTATAATATGACACTTCAAACCATACCTGGAGTCTAGGGTTGAGAGTAAAGCTGCCAGCAATTAGATTCATACAGGCAATATACTGACAATTATGAATTTCTTTAATAGTTAGCTTCTGCTTATCATGCCTGAGAGAGAAAATGTAGCTTGATTAATATTAGTGACAAAATACTGTACACTTTCCAGGCTTAAACTCAGTTGAGTTTAATACTATTAAACTCTGCCCTATGGGAAATCTGTAATACAAATGGCCATGGAAGTATCAAATTAGGATCAACATTTTAAAATTAAGAAAACCCCCACAATTTCTATCACATAATATTTTGTTCAACATTTTTGTTGAAATGAAGATATTACATTCTCACAAAACATTCTGATGATGATAAAGAGAGACTTTTTTAAAATGAAACTGGGTCCAAACAAACTTGAGTGAGTACAACATGGTCAAAGAAAGTTCAAATTGGTTTGAGAATGCACACAACCATCATACATAAGAGCAGGCAAAATTAACAGATCTCAATAAGAAAAAAAACCAGCAAAGATCATCATAGACTATGATGTGGCATGCTTAAAGATCACTCCTTTTTTTGCATCATCATCTGATTGATACTGTTTCTGGCTCTCCAGATAACACAGCTTCCCGTGAATTAAAAGGAGGCCACTTAAAAAAAATATAAAATTAAAAAAGGCTTTCAGTAGCTGGCAATTTGAGTTCCCATTGCCCAAATCTGAAGACAGAGTCTTGTTTTTTAGAAGTTAGTGTACAACTGAACTAGGCCAAGCAGGTACCATTTTACAAAAAAAACACTGTAAGAGGAAAACTCATAAATAATGCAGCCATTCCCTGCTTAAATCAACAAATCCTTCCCAGGACTTCATAGTATAATGCATTCTCTTTCTTTCCCCGCATTTGCAACAAATTTTACTCTATTTTAGAATTCTCAAAAGGTTATGTTTAAAATCCCTGAATAGAATAGTCAACTTTTTTCCTAATTTGATTTGTTTTGTGAAATGGAGGTTTTTAATTTTCAGTTTGGTTTTGTTTCAAAGGAAACAATTCAAAACAATTCAAAAGAAAGAAGCATCAACAGTTTTAAGCAGTAGGGACTTTTAAGATCTGAAGTTTGAAATCTTTGTGAGGAAACAAAAAGATTCTTGGCTAGAATAGCATATAGGTCTGGGGAGAAAACAGAAGGGCTTTGAGATGTTAGCTTTGCATGTCACTGAATTAGACCTGATTGATTTCTCCAAGCTAGAGATGCTTCAGATTTGAGCAGTCACTTCCTTTTTTCTCTTTAGGTCTTGTTCCTCAATAAGATATTCAGCTGACGCCTTGTATCATTCCTTCATGAGATGAAGTATGACCAAGTAAAAAGCTTATATATTCAACTGAACCTGCATTAAAAGGTGCAAGAACATTACAGATGTTATTACCTCACCATAGTCACAATTATAGTCAGATCACAGCATACATGCCAGTGAAAAGAAGAACCTTCTATGAAACAAAAGTTTTAAGGGTATGGGTAAAATCCTTGAACACATGGTGAAGAAGCACAGAACTGAGAAGATACACTCAGCTTCCTAATACCACTGAAGTAGGCTGGTTTTGTGTGTGGAGTCCCTGCCTATCTGTCTGCGCACCTCCTTTTGACAATACACAGACAGCTAGCTATGTGTATTTAAATCTTCTTTTTTTTTTTTTTTAATGTCTGATTACTTCTCTCCTTTACTCACCAGATCATTCACAATGTATTCTTTGTATGTCATGTTTTCTTCATGTCACATAAAAGTGATATGCTTGTATATGAACAAGAATCTAATATGCATTTATAATAACAATGAAGTATTTACACAAGATATAGATCCGCCTGTAACAGAACGCAATCAAACACTAATCAGTTGATTTTAAACTGAAAACTTTCTCTTTCCACAGACTCTGGTGAAAGGATACTAATATATTTAACTGCCAAAAAATTAAATTGTCCTTTGGAAAGTAAGAAGGGAATTACCTTAATTGCCCAAATCAACTTAATTATCCTTCAACAGTCATCTTCTCTGGTTTTCTTCTCACAGCAGAGAAAGAGCATTCATTTTAATCAGTATCATAAAGTTTCTGTGGATTTTGTCTGCTGTCTTAACAGGATGATGAGAAGATAGTGGGTGGTATAGGCTAAACATCTGGCAAGCTGCAATTTAGGGAATCAGTTTCTGTGTCTCTGACATCCCTATTCTCATCAGGTCAATTGATGGGGTCAACATCCAGCAGTTCCATCATGGGCAGCTGAAGGATACTTCCCTTCCAAGACTCTCTATAGCCCCTTCACTTTCTGCTTCTCTCTTCTAAAACTGTTTATAACCTCCAGGGAAAGCATGCTTTTCTGTTTAAGCAATTCACCTGGAAGCTTTCTCTTTTATGTGGTTTAGGGGTCCCATCATGGCCCACAATACAAAAATTATAGGATAACATTAAGTAAGAAGTAAAAGCTCACCAGTGTCCGTGATCTATATGCTGCCGAATAAGTACATGAGGTTGAACCGTTCCGTATCTATCTACTTCAGGCATATTCAAATCATCAGTAAAATAGGTAAGTTTCTTATTTCCTGCTGGACCATAGTTATGACCAGCTTTTTTCTCCAGCTTTTTTTCAAGCATCTCTGAAATGTAACACAACATATGTAAATATTGTTACCATACTAAAGAATACTAAAACTAAACAAAATCAAGAATTCAAAATCATGCTGGCTAAAATTTATGAAACATTTCACCACCTACAAGGGTTTTTGAACTATCAAAGTCCTTAGTAATCAGTGAAATTCACAGAGTGTCTTTGAAAAAACATCACACTGCGATTCTGAATTCCAGAAGAGTCTTTTTGATTTATTTGGTTGACTGCTTCACAGCTTTTGAAAATCTCACTGCATATCCATCTGCATCCTTTGGAACTGATATGCTTTGAATGTGAAATCCCCAGGTATCCTGACACTCAGCAAGTTTACCAGTGAAGTAGATTATTTTCTTCTTCTCCTGGGAAGAATTAAACAAGGACTTTACCATATGTAAAAAGTAAAAATATGAATTGTAAACATCATTTAATCAGGAAACTAGTGTGGCATCTCCCATACTAAGAAATATTAAGCTGATTGTATTAAATTTCAGCCTATTGCCCAAAATGAGGTGGTTACACATGATGCTGAGTGCAGACCATCAGGAAACAAAATTAATACAACAGTGAACAAATTAATTAAAATACCCTTACATATTCATCAGAACTATAAAATCTTGAGACATAAATTTTCAGTTTATGCAATTTTTATCCAACTGCACTGCCTCCCTTAGAGTTGTAAGGGAAAGAATAACTACAGAAAACTGCTAAGTCATCTTGAAGATAGAGAAAAAAACCACTTGTATTAAACGTTATTAAAATTTGAAACTTGGTATGATATGATCCTCAACTTTTGCCACTTAGTGAACTATTCCACAGATTCACAAGAAAGGATTCACCATCCATGGAAGTTTGATTTCTAATTGCACTGTTTCTATTTTGTGTATGGAAATAAGAACCTGCAGAAAGCATCAGAAATTTATTAAAGCAGGACTGGAAACTAACTATCTCATCTCTCTTCCTTCCTAGGTCATATATTTTTGTTGTCTAAATGATCACATAAATGTTTTGCACAAAACAAAACCACAGTAATAGGTTGACTTCAAGGAAAACTTTTCAGCATGTCCCAGTGACTGGGGCTCTCATCTCCAGTGAGCAGCCTAATTTCAAAAGCTCTCTCTGCCTCATTCAGAGCAGGGATTTGAACCAAAGGTGGCTATGAAACAGTTAGGGAAGATGGTGGTTACAACCCTTACAGCACAGGAGGGAATTTAATTCAGATTTTATATGCATCAGATTTCTCGCTCAATACTGCTGGGCAAGAGGAAAAAGATTTCTCAGAAATTTGTTGCATCTAGCCCAGGTTTTTTTTGTCCAGTCAATAGTGTCATGAATTTGGGATACACCTGCTATTGGTGTTGAGATGACCAAGCCCACATTTTTTAAGACTTTAATATTTGTCAAAAAGAAAGGAATGTAATGAAGGAAAAAAAATAATTATCAGTTCCATGTATAATAAGTAGAATAGGAAAAAAATGCAGACTACAGACTTCTTTCTTTTTTCCATTGTATTAAGCTGTATGTTAAAATCCTTTGGGTTAGATAATTAAAAAAAAAAAAGTGAAATGTAAGCATATGGTTTTGAACTTGTCTTTTTTTTTTTTTTTTTTAACTGGGTAACATGTTCACAAAAGCTTGTAGGAAATGGAAACTGCACTTGCGTAATGACAGCTGAATGCTGTACGTCACAGCACTGCCACGGTTTTGACTCTCAGCAGACTTTTTGGTTTCTTAGGCAAAGCAGTATAAACAAATATATCACTGGAAGCAGTTTCCGTTAGGACAAAAGGAGTGTTGTGTTGTCATCTTAGATTCTTCAAACAGTGAATGAAATCATCTGCAAACCTCAACAGTGGTTTATTGTCTAGCCAGTTCAAGAAAGGTAACAAATGCTTCCAAGGACATTTCCATCTAGTCAGAGTCAGCTAAAAGGATGGTTACTGACTGGAGAAGGAAAGTAAGCAGATAAAAAGTGAAGGTGTGCTGGAGGACAAGACAGAAATGTAGAACCTCAACATATTTGCAATTGGATAATCATAAATTTGGGGGGGGGGGAGAAGCCACGACTGCACTTATCCTGCTTTTCCACCACAAGAGGGAAAAAACTTTTTGCAGAAAATATATGCATATGAAAGGTTTAAAGCATCTCAATTACCTTAAAATCTTAGGTAAAAGAAGACTTTCTTCTTTTAGCTGAGGTACATATATAGCAATACTTTTAAACCCCAAATTAGGAATGCTCCATCTTGATCCTAACCTTCTCTAAATTTGAAATGAAGTCTACAATTATAATCTATTACTCCTATTTTTTTTAAAATACTGCATTATTACAATACAGTAAGGAAATATATTTTACTAAATTCCATTGTACATAAATGTTTATGCAAATTTCTTCTCTATGGCACTGTTCCAGAGTTTAGTATTACTGAAGACCCGAAACTTAATGTACCAGTATTGGTTTGCATGAGAACCTGTCTCCAAGTCAAGTAACATTTTGAAATTTTCTGCTGTTCTAGAGGCAGAGCAGATGAGTCATACGCCTTGGGGGAATGCTAAATAAAACCCAACACTACATGCTAATCTCACCCACTCTTGCAGATACCTCAAAAAAAGTTATGTGGATACAGATAAGATGGGAGCTGGCAGAAAATACTGCAGACTAAAAAGTGATACGATCTGCAAGAAAAATCTTTTAACCTCTAAACAATGGAAAGAACATGGCAATGTAGTGAATAACTGTACTTCAAGTTCAGCTCTTAAGCTCTTCGTTTTGAACCAAGACAGTTTAAATTGCTCATTTGTGTAATTTGATGTGAATGCCTCTTTCCATTAAAAAAAAAAAAATTCAACAATTTGATTGTTCCCAACAATTGCTCGGAGCTGTAGCCTAAAACACATAAGGCAGGCATTTCAGTGTATCACTTGAATGCATTTTATAGGAAGAAGCATCAGTACACGCAAACACAAAAATAACGAGGCAGTCATTTCGAGCTATACATGACAGTACAAAATCATTCCATCACAGCTCACCAAAAAAAATGTTGTAAACACAATGGAAAGTGAACACAATATATTTTTCCTGAATCATCACGCAGTTCTTCACCTGCTGTGATTAGCAGAGGGACTTGCTAGCAGAGCATTTAACAAAGAGGGACTTGGCTGAAGAGCAGCAGACAGAAGGAAGAGCTGCAGACAACCAGAGGAGTCCATTTTTTTGTTCATCTCTTAAGTATTTCTTAGAAAGAGCTGTGGATGTTCTACAACACTGACTTAAAAACCGAAGGAATACTACTAACATTTCATGGCAAATCCTTAAAGGTTCATAAGATCTCAAATTTTATGCCACAGTACAGTTGGTAGATGTGATACACTTGCAGAGAAAGCCTTTGTGATGCCTACTTAACCTATTTGGTTTATTTAAAAAGTTTCCTGCAAGAAGAATAGACAACCTTTGCTGCCTAGGAGCTCCTTTCATCAGCTTCTGTTTGCAATGGAAAGTGTTATGCTTTTGTGCTCTAGTGCCTTTGTCATGGTTACTGCTGGAATGGCAATCATTAGCTAAAAAAACCCTCTCTGATCAGAGGAATACCTGAAAACTTTTTAAGGCTGATTCCCCACTAAAGGAGCTGTGACAGTTTACAACAGCTCATGATCTCACTCTGACACACAGCCAATTTCTTTTCTCCTAATCTCTCCATTCATTTTGAGGGGCAAAAAGGCTATTAAGTTCTGTTAATGCAGGATTCTATGTTAACATGAATTTGGAAACTCTTCAAAGAATAAACTAAGGTACAAAGTAAACTGAAAGTGATATTTGCTTATCTGACCTGAATAGAGAAGAAATCAACACAAGATAGTAAAGAAAAAACAGGGTAAAACCTTACTCAATGGAGATTTGTGGATTTATACTTATATTTTTAAGCCTAGTGACAATTTGATCCATTAGCAGCAACGTAGATTGGCTAGAAAATTAAAAATTTGATTGCACAAGTAGTTAAATTAAGCATCAAGCAAACTTAAATGCTCCTAAAGATTTTATCTGAAGGCTTCTTAAATTCGGGAAAGTTTTTAAAAGTGAGAAATTGTTTTCTGTATTTTCTCCCAGACATATGAGACGATAAGCCAGTGCATTAACTTCTTTAGTGCTTTTTACAGCTGTGAAAAGCTGTACAGTGAATAGGCCATGTCATTTTTTCTGTAGAGTGATAAGAGTTCAAGTTACTGTAAGGATAAAGAAAAGAAGGCAAAGAAGGCATATCCACTGATAGCTGGGCTCTCTCTTGATTGTGGTGTTCATGAAAAGCAGGGAGACACAGAGCTTTTATGAGTCTATTTTACTTTGACTGTCTGCTGCCTCTTGTTCCAAAACCTACCACCAGTATAACATTTTTGGCCAACGTACAGCCCCCTCTGTGTGTTATATTAACATTTCCTTTGCTCTGCATCCATCTTGCCTATGGAGACTCCCAACTTCTCTAGACAGGGACTGCCCCTCATCAGGGATGGTATGGTGCCTAGCAAAAGCAAGCCCAACTCCTGACTGTCATTTTTGGTACATCTACAGGCACAATGCAGAGACATCCACGCTAGCCAAAGCTGGCTCAAAGCTTCTTGTTAACATAAGTAAAGCCAAGTTTTCTCTTGTCCACAAGCACAGAGCAACTTGTGGGAGCACAGTGTGAGTGCCAGTTTGCCCCACAGTTTCATCCTCCTTCTTTCCTCTTGCCTGCCCCAACTTTGCTAAGTTTTCCACTTTGCAAAGCGAGGAGCTTGCCAAGACTCAGGCAACGGCAGTAGCCAACAGCTGTAATGAAATCGTAACAGCTGTGTAATATTTTTCACCTTTGCTGTTGAGGGAAGATAGGTTTCTTGCATCTGTGTGGAACTTACTCTGAAGCACTGCTGATACTGTGTAGTAGTTGAGAGGGATGTTATCCAGGAGGTAGTCTTCAGAGAGAGCAGCAAGCCTGTCGCCTACAAACACTTTTACTTACTCTGGCATTTCCAACAAGCATGACTAGTTTGCCTTTTGTTAAGAGTAAATCAATAAAATATTTGAGAAGTGCAGTCTCAGATGTGTGAACAAAGATTGCCTGAAATTGAAAAGGAAAAAACCCCATCAAACACTTGCACAACACAGTTTAGTTTTAAAAGCAAACAGTAATTTCTGTCTCTCCCTCTGGCTAGGACTGAATTCTAAAAAGCAATGAAATGGGACACACCGTTCTCTCATTGTCAAACACAATTACTAGAACAGAGTGTTCTACTAGATTACTTTTTACACAGCATTGCTACCTGAAAATCTGTATTCAATTTCTTCTAATAGGAAGATTTTTAAATCGGATTGTAGCTGAAATGCATTGGTTCCGTCTCAACCTTTACAGAATGCCAGTCTCCCAAAACCTGGTAGAGAAACAAAGGCTAGTGCAACAGGTAGTTGGTTTAATTTTTCAAGTAGTAGCTCCATTTGCTTTTTGGTCTGGCTTTCAGCATACCTAAAACTGGACAAATAGTTGGCAACAAATTAGCTTTAGTTACTGTGAGCACCTAAAACCTTTATTGCCTGATAAAACTTTCTTTTCCAAGCTCTGTATTTTCCTACCAAATATTAACCATCAAAGAGAACTTGTTACAGGATAGCTGATAATGGATAATGTCTTTTGATCATCAGCTCCATGTTTCTATGCCCACAAACTTATAATCTCCTCAAGAAAATTCCTACTCATTTAAGCATTTAAAAAGAAAGAGGCCTACAAGTTAATGCAATCAAAGCACCATGAAGCATTTGAGAATATTCTGTGAAACACACTGAAAAAAGAGCAAAACTAACCAAACCCCCAAACTGAGGCAATTACAATTAACAGCTCATGCGTTCTACTTCTCCACTGACAGATACATATCATACTATCATATTTGACTTCTACAATTTGTATTCCACAAATATAAGTCTAACTTTGTAAGTTGATCAGGAGCATAGTGGAAAGGTGATAAAGTGATTTTCTTCCCCCCCCCCCATTCTGTTAGTACGAAGGGAATTTAGCTGGCAAAAGAATACCTGTGGGTGCATAAAGCTGGCAAGAGAAAAATATTAAGGCTTCCGTTTGTGGTGTACAGTTGCTGTGGGCATTATTTTCAATGATTAAATGGACTTGAAGCCTGAATTTCTCCTACGATGGAAAAAGGGTATAAACCACTAACAAATTGAATATGCTATGTCTTCAGGAGTGCTTTAATAACATAAAAATCAATAAAAGCATTGCTTTATTGTTAAATCCTCAAGACTAAAATAAAGGTACATGGCCCAGTTAGCAGGGATTTATCCAAACACATCTAGAGAGTGTTACTTCCAGGACATCTAAGACTATGTCAGAAATCATGACAAGACCCTAAAACCTTCCCACATCTAGCAATGCTCGGCATGTGGTCACAGGTGTGCACTGTACTTGCAGAGGTGCATCTGGATCCACATCAGGAGTCAGGACCTTATCCACCCAGGGCAGGAACTTCCTTGTCTCTGCATCAAGGTAATAATTGAACACTGTGCCCTGGGATGGAAACTTCACTGCTTTCATCTTCTTAAGCCACCAGCAGCTGAATTCAGCTTGGTAATTTGAAAGCTATAAAATGGTGCATTGTTGACAGTACATATTCCATAGAGACATTCGTGTGAAACACACATGAAAAACAGACTTACAAATAAATCTTATTTTTAAATGCGTATACACGTAGACTGTGATGAAGTAACCAAGAACATCAAAGCAATACCTTAGTGTTCTGCTGTTTAAGGGGCTAAGGACAGGCCATCTTCTGATGACATCCTGGGTTGAGTGCAGGTGTCAAGATGTTGGCAGAAGGGGGCTGCAGGATGGCCTCTGTGAGGAGAGGATGGGGGCTGCCCTGTTCTGGACATGGCCAGTTCCAGCCAGCTCCAACAGACCCACTACAGGACACTGCAGAGCCCCTTGGCCAAGCTGGTGCCGCTTCAGGAAAAACATATTCAAGAAAGGGCAGAAAGACTGAGAAACAGCAGAACACCAAGGTCAGAGGAAGAGGAGGAGCTCCACATCACTGGAACAGATACCCACACTGCAGCCCCCTGATGACCCCATGCTGGAGCAGGTGAATATACCCTGAAGGACTGGAGCCCAGGGAGACCCCATGCTGGAGCAAGGGTAAAGCATGAGAAGGAAGGAGTGGCAGAGAGAAACCACAGTGTATCAACCGTAACCCTCCATCCACCCATGTTGCTTGGAGTGGGCAAGTGGAAGAGTGAAGGAGTGACGCTGATTTTGGCAGGCAGGAGGGGGAAAGGTTTTGGTTTAATGTTTGCCTTTGTTTCTCACCACCCGCATCCATTTTAATTGGCAACAAATTAAATTAATTTTCTCCAAATCGAGTCTGTTTTGCCCATGAGAGTAACTTCTTACCAGTCTCCCTGTCTTCATCTCGACCTACAAGCTTTTTCAGCCTATTTTCTCCCTCTACCCTGCTGAGGAGGGGGAGTGAGCAAGCGGCTGGGCTGGTGTTCGGCTGTTTGCCAAAGCTAACCCACCACATATCCAGCCCAAATATTTTGTTTCCTAAATCTTTTAAATTCGGTTTAAATTTATATAACTGTGGGACCACAGAGATGAATTCCTTCAGACAAGACCTTCCTGCATATGTCCACAGAACAGCATGTCTTTTTGAAGGACATTAAATCAGATGTTAATACGACCAAAAAGATCTTCCCAGTCTCTTGTTGCAATAATGTGTTGCTTCTGATTCTTCAACTTATGCAAGGTGCTCCTTTACCTACGGATGACGCACATATAAACTTGCTCCTTCACAAGGGCTTCATCTAATTCAAGCAGCAGTAAAGCCAACTGTATTTTTCAGCCTTTAGGAGGCAAGTATGACTAGATACTTCTCAAGAAATCAAGCTCTATCTAAGCAAAACACTGACAAGTAATTGTAGAGTTTTAGAACTTTCTTCTTCAAACCTTTTGTAGCATCACAACAAAAAAAAACTCACTAAGGGGAATGCATTATAATGCCTTGCTTATATCTACATTTCTCAGTGTAAATCCAACAGGTGAGATTAAACATACATCTGTCCAGCCCTTTATTAAATGCTTCAATTCTGGTAGGCATGACTCTCATACTACTTTTTACTGCTTGCCAGGGACTTTAGTGTAGATAAAAAAGTACAACTGGTAACACTTCCCTAAGTAAACACAGCTTCTCTATGCACGGTAAACGGGACTGCATGCCGTCTTGCATTGCAGGCAGTCAGCTCCCTCTGGTCAAGTTAGCTCATTTACAGATAAGCTCTGATAGCTACAGTACAACAGGCCAACAAATCAGACGCATGGGCCACTGCTCTGCACCCCTCCATCAGTATTAATGAGTAGAAACCTGCATATACATATATACACACACGCACATATGTATTTATATCTGTTTAAATATGTAGGTAGGTGTGTGTGTGTGTATATATATATTATATCTGTTTTTCAAGCACAGTGAGATACTGTGGTCATTTTCATAAACTTACCTGATCTTGAAAGAATGCCCCACCAAACGCCCAAATACAAGCAAAGACAAAATACATCTCATAGAGCTCTCTGGGGCAATCCATTGGCACATTTTCAGGGGTCAGTAAGCAATCCAGCAGAGAACAGAGTTTCTGCAATAAATAAATATGTGAAGAGAGTGACCTGTGAGTCTTACTCCATAGGAGGGTGACAGTGACCTCAAGAAGGTATTTAAAATTTAAGTAGTGAGACTGCAGCTCCTTGCTCTGCTTCCTTATTGTCTAGGAGCTCCTTTCAGAGGTCAAAGGCACAAAACAGGCCTACTGATAAAATGTACCAAATTACCTTCATTCCACACTACTTAAAGCAAAGTATATGAAGATAACACAGTTCAAGCATGTACATTATGGCAAATTCTTAACACTCATACTCAATCATTAGTTTTCTCCTCTCCTCTTGACTTATTTAGAAGCAGGCAAACAGAAGAGTTTAGAATGACAAGGCATATTAAGTAAATTTAAAATGTCAACATAAGGATGTGCAGTATCAGATTGTTTATGTATGGAACAAACGGAGCTCAGCTCCATTCTTTAATAACGGTTAATAACATAGGGCCTCATTATCAGAGTATGAGAGTAACTAGTGAGCATTTAATTTAGTGAGCATTTAATTAGAGAGAGGCAGAATGCTTGTATGGAGAGATGAAATGGCTAGCCCTAAGCTACCTAAGACATTACTAACAGAAGCAACGCAGGAATTGAAAAGTCAGGGAATTATGTGCAGTGCCATAAACACACTACCTTTCTTCTTGTTACAATGGACCGCTGCAGTATGAAACCTCTGAACCTCTGTAGGTCTCCAAAACCAAAGATCCACGTTTGATATATAAGAGCCTCTCAATTTCATCTCACCTGCATTTCAGATAGACAGTAATTTTAAGCATTTTTATTCCTGCATAGGACCACATGCTCAGTGGATCTTTCAGAAACACTGTTTCTTAAAATATAAATAGTTATAATCCTAATGCATACCTGAACCACACTATTCTCAGGAATAACAGTTTTAAATCTTGTTCTGAGTTGTTCTAAGTAAGGAGGCACATATTTGTCAAAAAGAACAGTCAAGTTAGCCTTTTTGGATTGGTATCTCCTTGTTTCTATCCAGCTGGCAACATACCTGCAAAACAAATTGGAAAGCAACCAATTTTTTAGCAGAGAGAAGTTGAAAAAAACCCAAAATTTCTTCCCTCTAGCTTTGAAATGCAAACTTTTGTTCACTTTTGAGAATTGTTTGTGATTGCCTTTAGTGCAATGCACAAATACTACTGCACTGGATACAAGTCAGACATAAGTGCTGCCAGCCTTACAACATTTTTATTTGTTTATGCAAAGATCATTATGCTGCAGAATTTCTAAGAGCTATTATGACAGTTGAGCACACCGGCATATGGCTACACTCCTTTTCCTTGACTGCATCCTTTATTCCAGGGAAGGCAGGGAGAAAGGGCCTAGAAAGGGCTTTCAGAGGGCTGCACCACCAAAAACCAGGTGGGATCAAGGATGCTTTATTTTATGTTGTTTGAGAACAGACTATTTAAAATACCAGCATGTAAGTTATACACAAGAGCGAGGATTATGTGACACCCAAGTTCAACATAGCTTGCATTGCAGATATCTACAGTAGTATGTATAACCCAGTCTGGCTGAAAAGTCTGGCTATATGTAATTAAGGACAAAAGAGTAACCCTTCTCATCTGCTAGTTCCTATCACAACCAAGTCTAAAATTCCTCATCATTACGCTAACTGAAGCACATGCTTCAGGTTAGCAGCCATTTGCTTAACTGTCTATATACCAAAGGATTAGGCAATTTTATCCCCTGCTCGTGTTCACACAGTATTAGTCAAACACAGTCTAAACAGATTATTTACTCATTTACAGCTATGCCATTTGGACAGTTTGTTGCCTACTGTTTCCATCTCTACACTCCTCTGTTTGCTGTGAGAGATCATATTGCCTCTCTATGTCCTCAGCAGCCCTCTGATTCTCATCACCCAAGGTGGGCAGCTTGTACAGACTCATGCTGTTTGATTAAATTCTCCTACTGACAAGATTTCTCTGGGAGATATTTGCACTGAAGGCTTCTTACCCCAATGGCATACAACTCTAACACAGACAGTTAGAACTGTCTGAAATGTTGATGACATATTGGAACGCTGCAAAATTGAATTTTGACATGAAACAGCAATACTGCTGCTTGAAAATAAAACCACCGACTGACAAATGTTAAAAAGAATCACTTCTTACTAAAACTTGTAACAACTGTTTTGGATCAGCTCAACAAATGCAAAAACAAAAGATCACATTGGACTTCAAGTTAACGCATTGTGCCTTGACCAGCTAAATTTCCTTTTATTCACGGAAACCCATATTCTTTAGAAAACATCTTATAATTAATTTGCATGAAGCATAGATGTATAACAAGTTAAAAGAGCAGTACTGTGATCCAAACGATTAAGAGAAACAAAAAGCCAAGCTGATGTAAACCAGTGTCCTTAACAGTGTCAAAGATGGTGACAGTTACTAAAAAGCTGTCGGAGAACAGTAGCCAAGTTACTCACTTCTTGCTACTGCCAAATTTGTATCACAAAAATAAGACAGTGGGTTTACCACTTGTACTCAGTTTCTGTGGCAAGATTTTGGTAGCGAGGGTGGGGCTACAGGGGTGGCTCCTGTGAGAAGCTGCTAGAAGCTTCCCCTGTGTCCCAGGGAGCCAATGCCAGCCGGCTGCAAGATGGACCTGCTGCTGGCCAAGGCTGAGCCCATCAGTGACAGTGGTAGGGCCTCTGGGATAGTATATTTAAGAAGGGAAAAAAAAAACAAAACAAAAAAACCAACCCCCCCCTCCCCGTGCAACAGAAACTGCAGCCAAAAAAAGGAATGAGAACATGTGAGAGAAACAACCCTGCAGACCCCCAGGTCAGTGAAGAAGGAGGTGGAGGAGATGCTCCAGGTGCCAGAGCAGAGATTCCCCTGCAGCCCGTGGGGAAGACCATGGTGAGGCAGGCTGTCCCCCTGCAGCCCATGGAGGTCCACGGTGGAGCAGATCTCCACCTGCAGCCCGGGGAGGACGCCACGCCAGAGCAGGTGGGTGCCCAAAGGAGGCTGTGACACTGTGGGAAGCCCGTGCTGGAGCAGGCTCCTGGCAGGACCTGCGGACCCGTGGAGAGAGGAGCCCACAGAGCAGGTTTTCTGGCAGGACTTGTGACCCCGTGGGGGACCCACGCTGGAGCAGTGTGCTCCTGAAGGACTGCAGCCCATGAGAAGGACCCAGACTGGAGCAGTTCGTGGAGGACTGCACCCCGTGGGAGGGACCCCATGCTGGAGCAGGGGAAGAGTGTGAGGAGTCCTGCCCCTGAGGAGGAAGGAGCAGCAGAGACAATGTGTGATGAACTGACCGAAAGTCCCATTCCCCGTCCCCCTGCGCTGCTGGTGGGAGGAGGTAGAGAATTCAGGAGTGAAGTTGTGCCCAGGAAGAAGGGAGGGGTGGGGGGGAAGGTGTTTTAAAATTTGGTTTCTCATTACCCTACTCTGATTTTGACTGGCAATAAATTGAATTCATTTCCCCAAGTTGAGTCTGTTTTGCCCGTGACAGTAGTTGCCGAGTGATCTCTCTGTCCTTATCTTGACCAGTGAGCCTTTCATCGTATTTTTCTCCCCCTGTCCAGCTGAGCAGTGGGGAGCGATAGAGCAGCTTTGGTGGGCATCTAGCATCCAGCCAGGGTCAACCCACCACACTACTGCTTTGATTAAGCACTACACATTAGATGGGAAAATAAAACACTGATGGTGAAATTTCTGAACTGCATATTTGATAGGCCACCAAATAAATTATCCCACTATTATCAAAAGAAAAACTAGAAGGAAAAATTAATATAAATAATGGAATTTATTTCCATTAATATTCAAGATGTATCTTGAAAATGCTAACTAATACCATCAGATACTTACAGATTCCATGCCAGGTCCTGGGTGTTCAGACAGAGAATACCAGCTCTGGATACTGTAGCTGGGGTAACAGCTCTTAAATGGGGTACCTCAAATAGTAGCCACATTGATGGAGTCACAGGCACATGTCCATTGCTTGTAAGGGTCAGAACGTAGAAATCGTCAGTAATTTTTTCAGCAAAAGCAAGCTAAGATACACTGTCTAAGAAGAATGAATGATCAGGGCAATCTTGTATTTATTATAGCCCCACAAAGGAGCAAGGATTATCTGCAACACCTTGCACATACACTATTTCTTAAACATAGCTAAACAAACTTTATTCGAACATGGCTATGTTTTTTTACTTCAGAAACACAGAGGACAAATTCAAGGTTTTACTTGATCTCGTGTGAATTTTTCCACAGTTCAATTCATTCAAAAGATGACTAGCCACTGTCCTGGTTTCAGCTAGGATAGAGTTAATTGTCTTCCTAGTAGCTGGTACAGTGCTATGTTTTGAGTTCAGTATGTGAAGAATGTTGATAACACACTGATGTTTTAGTTGTTGCTAAGCAGTGTTTATACTAAATCAAGGACTTTCAGCTTTTCATACTGCCTTGCCAGTGGAGGCTGGGGGTGGACAAGAAACTGGGAGGGGACACAGCAAGGACAGCTGACCCAAAATAAGCCAAAGGAGTATTCCATACCATATGACATCATGCCCAGTATATAAACTGGTTGGAGTTGGCTGGGGCACACCACGGCACAGGGACTGGCTGGGCATCAGTCAGCAGGTAGTGAGCAATTGCATTGTGCATCACTTGTTTTGTATATTCTGTTGTTATTATTTTCCCTTCCTTTTCTGTCCTATTAAACTGTCGTTATCTCAACCCACAAATTTTACTTTTTTTTGTCCCCCTGATTCTCTCCCCCATCCCACGGGGGTGGAGGGGGGGTGTGTGTAAGTGAGTAGCTGCATGGTGCTTAGTTGCTGGCTGGGGTCAAACCATGACAACAGGAAAGCTTAAGAGAATGGGCTAAACTACAATCACCTTTCTAAGGTTACATTTAGGTTTTAGATTTGGATTTCATTACATTACAGCACTTCAGACAGCTGTAACTGGTTTAGCTGCGTAATTAATAAGAAGGGAATAAAGAAGTCTAGATACTACTACTAGTTCTTAAACTGACTTGTTTAGATTTCCTAACACTAGCCTTCCTTACTGCAGTGACGCAAGGACTTCACTCATGGAATCTTAAATCTATTTTACTGAGAGGCTTTCCAAATACCAGTTTCAATAATCTTATGCTGACATCCTGAATTACATCAACTCATACACTAGGAGGCACAATCATCCTTATAGTATATGTAGGCTACTTTAAGTCTGTGTTGTACAAAATAGGCAAGACATAACGTGTTAATCAGATGCTATTACTTAGCAATAGTGAAAACCGAAGAAATTATAAGAATGGAAGAAAAAAGGAACATACACTGCAAAACTATCTCCAGAAAAATAAAGGAAGAGGGAAATGTGAAAACAGGTAGAGGGAAATCCACTGTACTTGCTTCTCAGTTACTCACCTTGTTATCATCCATAACAGTATTGAGGGACTCAATCCACATAGGATCCATATCCCCATGTAAAACTAACCATTTTGCCCTCTCATGGGTAATACTACATTGCTCTCTCAGAAGAAATGTCAGGAGACCTGCAAATTATATTTCAATAGAATCCCATCACTTTAGTGCTTAAATAACAACACTGCAATTAAAACTTCAGAAGACTTAATGCATCACTGAAACAAGAAGCTTTGTAGCATCAAAACCATGTTTTTTTCCTTTGCTTGCTTATTAGGTGGCTATTCAAAAGTAAAAAAAAAAAAAATTCAGTGAACACCTGATACAGCAAAATGACTGCATTTTATGTAATAATGACCTATTTCTGGTTTGATTACAGGAGAGTATGTCATTAGTCTTAAGGATATGGGTGAGATATGGGAGGTTTCATGGGTCTGGGAAGAAAATAACTCACCCTTTAAGGCAGCTGAATCAGCATCATTCAGACTAGTACTTTTCTGTCTACTAGCATCCTGCCCTGCCTCCAGTCTTTCCACAACCACTAGTGCTCTGCACCCATATGTCATTGCATCAACATACAGAAAAACCCAAGAAGTGGGTCTCTAACACCTTCTCTGAATTCTGGCATTGTCCATTTCTGATGGAGAGCAATGTCTCCAGGTTCAGGTCCTAGTAAGGACACGTGTGCTACTTGCCATCTTTTCACTCTCGGATTGCATGGTGTATAAAACCAAGCAATTCATCAGCTATCAGAACTTTTGACTTAAAGTCATTCCAAACAGGCTTTTGTTTCATGTTCACATACGTGTGATGCAGAACTTTCAGCACCTGAGGAGAGGAACAGGCTGCATGTTAGTGACACAATTTTGATACAATAGGAATCTTTGACTTTCTTCCTGAACTGGATCTCTGACTGCAAATCCCTGCACTCCGTCAACTGTTCACCTTGATTTACTCATGACTCTGTGCTAGTTTAGTCCTAAATTTCCATTAAGCCTAAGGATAGGAGACTCCCATTCTGAAACAGCTGTACTCTGCAATTGATTCTAATAGAAAGTGTTAAATGGGGAAGAAAATCCATGCAGCTGCCAACGTTTAGTAGCAGAAATGGGCAAGCATTATCTATTAAAAGTATTTGTCTAGTGTTTTGGCAATATATTCCACTATTTCTGTCTAGAAGCCTAATTAAACCATCCTGCTTCTCCTTCCAGAACAAAGTATTACTTAGTCTATCTGTCAAATTGAATGCTCATTACTTGGTGCCACAATTAATTTTCCTTTGGGACATGCAAACAACACATAAAATGTAAAATTTGCTTGTAACGTTTGAGCTTTGTCATTGCACATCATGTGGCTGACTAGATGGCCTGAACAGCGTGTTATTACACTGCAGCCTAAGGCAAAGGCAACACGCAGTATGTTTTCCTCAAGAACCATGGCAATTTCTTTACAATGTAAGATAGAAAACATGCTGCATAGCTATGCAGGTACCTTACTCTTTCCAGTCCCCGCATTTCCAACAGCAAACACAGAGTGACACAGTGCTGGTAGCTCCTCCAGCTGAACAACCTATCACACAGAAGGGATACACAGTGAGCACCTTTCCTCTCCTGTTGTCCTTCTTATTACAGAGACACAATTATTCACAAGAGTTATATCCCCCTCTACACTCCTATTCCCTTTAACAGGAAAAAAATGAACCTACATCTTCTCAGCAGATTTGCCTCAGCTAAGCTGATGTTGCATCAAGCAACATTGTCTGACTTCCAGAAAATGGGAAGAGAGTTGGCTTAAATTAATGAATGCAGTTATCTCAACAAGTGAGAGCAAATCCTATTCTGCTAGACAGCCATACAGTCCAGTAGGACTGTGCCAACCCAGGAATACAGAACAGTTATTACAATTTTGCCATCAATTTAGCAGAGTGAATTCCACACTCAGAACAGTTGTGCAGCTATGATTTTGTAAAATACAAAATCAGTCCACTGAAGTAATAAGTTTCTTCCAAAGAAATAGTTCTGTGAGCCACAGAACTAAAATATCTTGGCTGCTTATGGTTTTCTGTCTTAGAAGAGAGCACCCACACAGATTTTCTGAAGTCCAATAGGAACAAGTCCATGTTCCTTAGTGCTCACCTTCTGATTCACCCAGTTAGCAGGAATCAAAATACTCTATAGATGGCTGATTACAAATTTCGTAATACCCCAAGGCATAGCTTACTGTCTTTCACCCTTCTGTCAGGATAATGGAACAAGATACACTAGAGCAGAAAATCCTTTATAAATCCTGAGATCAGTCACATTTAACTGCCATGGTTACTTCAGTTTCCAATAAACCCTAATAAAGGAAAGGTGCATGCTATCACATAGAGCAGATGTGGATGTTCCTTGAAGGAGGGTGGGAATACACTTTCTTATTAGTCCAAAGAAGCACACTTTTTATTTGGTCTGTATATTAACCAGTGTTTCTAAGTTTCACCTTTTCATCCTGGCTGTAATTCAAACTAAAATTAGTGTTTAAATTTGGCTTATAGACAACCAGTTCTTATAAACATACATGCACGCATACATGTACATACATGTTTTTACTGTGTATAGCACAATGTGCATTATATTATACAGAAATACCAGAACACGCAAAAATCCACGCTGTCTTATTTACATGGTTTTGCTCCCGTACTCTTCTTTCCTCCCTATAAATAATCACCAACAATTAATTTGCTACCGAGTACAAATGCTTGGTAGTGTACACAAACATGTTTGTCAATGTAGACAGCTTTTTTTCAACAGGACACATATTTCCTTATGGATGTATTTTTCATACTGAGGTGTATTACTGCCATGACAAAATGCCTTTGAAATACCAAGACATTGAGGACACCTTATCAACAGTGTAACATACTCAAAAATAACCTTCATGTCTAACACAACCCATTTGCAATTATTTTGATTGAAACTCTTAAGGGGAGTAATTAAAAGCAATGAATTCTTTTACTTTGAGAATAAAGCTCTCTTCAGGCTGCAAGTGAAGCTCCAGGGTAGATTGTTTAACCATCTGTTCAAATTGCAGGTTCCTCTTCCTCAGAACATCCAGAGCTGGAAACGGGTCACTGATTAGACCCATGAAAATTGGGATATCATCTGTCACTATTTTTGGCAAATTGAAGTCTCTTAAGGCTCACATAAGCACCTGGAAAAGGATGGTAAACGACATATCACAAGAGGATTAAATTCTTCTCTTTTTAGCATTCTGATTTTATTCAAAGGCAAAACACCAGAAACAGCTCCTCTCTTATGTGCTTTTAAGTGAAGATTTTACCTGATTGTCAGATCTGTTCCTATCTCCTCGTTTCAGTGAGCCAGCAACTACCAAAACTGACTTGATAGCACAAAGTCCCCAGTCATAATGGTCCTGTGAAAACATTTTAACTAGTCATGTTAGCACAGGAAATAAAACAAAGTGGTAGTGTTTACGAAGAAAACAAGCGGTTTACATACAGCGTAAAGTGACAATTTTTTATTCCCTTGTAGTCTTGCAGTGGCTTTAGGCCAGCGTTGGAAGTCTAGTAAAGAAAAAAAAAAGAAAGGGTGAAACGTGTATATTTATTTCATTTTTAGTATTCCACCACTTTGTTCCCTATTTTTAAATGGCAAAATTCGTATCATCAAATATTATTGTGTTCATGGCAACTATACCTCCATGATGAAACAAGGCAAGCCAAAAATTGCTGTCAAACTTCTACTATTTGACCTGATGCTAGTAATACTTTTCTGTAGAAGAGAAGATTGGACAGATTGTCAACATAGTTTGCAACCAGCTCCAACACCAAAATTAAAGGAAAAAAGAAACAGATAGGTACTCAGCCTAGAGGAAAAGCCTAGAAACATTTGGTAAGTGAAGGGCAGAGAAAAAGCCTATATCCTCCCCTAAGCCCTGCCAGTAGGAAGGCAGATATGCAATGCAGAAGGCACAACTTTTTCTGTCACACACAGGCTCCTCAATCCCTCTTCCTCCTTTTTCCAGGACTTTGTAACACTCACTTCTTCCCCTCTCCTTCCTAGGTAGCATAGAAGCAGAAAGAGAAGGAGTTTGAACCATTTTGGAGAGTTAAAGAATTTGAACAGCAACTTGCGCGACTGAAGGGAGTAGCCCAACGGCCAATTTTGCAATTCGAAGAGGTCTACCATGAAATTACAGCTCTCTAAATTTAAGGCTACACCTACACTTAAAGATGTTCTTGCAGCTCATGCAGAGATCCCCAGATGGTTAATTTTGGTACAACCAGCAGTGGGACCAGCCATTACGTGAGCGGCTGGCTAGGTACGTGACTAATCAGCTCCTCTCTAACCTCTGTGTTGCTGCAGCCAAGAGTGACACAGCCACCATCTCTCTCTGTTAGCATGCACCACACCACTCATGGTGATCTAGTTTCCTTAGTGTGTGCACACTACACCTACCTCAGTTTCAAAAATCTACCTGGGGTTGCAACTATCCTGCTGTCACCACCCAAACTGGCTACCCATCAGGTAGAGTTTGAGAACATTTGCTGCAACCACACCTATGACTCCAGTATAAATACAGCCTAGTTGGTATTATCACCCAAGCCAAAAGAAAGAAAAAATAAAAAAAGAAAAAAACAAACCAGTAGCAAACCCACAACTTCACAATATACAATTTTTAAAGTTGACAGATGTCACTATCCCCTTCCACGACAGTGGCACTCCATAACTGTGAATCAAATGCACCAAATATACCACAAAGAAGAAAAAATAAAAAGCAATTTTCAACTTCAGAACAGTTCATCATCAGAAAGAAAAATCGCCATTTTTTTCTGAGGTACTAAAGATGCTGAGTATCTGCAATGAAAATGATTCTCCACAATTTAGAAATAGTACACCTAGGCAAAGAAGTTAAACATAGAGCTGATTAGGAAAATAGGAAATTTAGGAAAATACTGGGCTTAATGAGCTTTTGCTTAGATTTAGGTAAGGTCCCCCCCCCCCCCCCCCTTTTTTTGTTTGTGTGG